TATATATATATATATATATATATATATATATATATATATATATATATATATATATATATATATATATATATATATATATATATATATATATATATATATATATATATATATATATATATATATATATATATAGGTTAGGTTAGGTTATATATATATATATATATATATATATATATAGTGCCAGTAGAGTTCAAAATATCTCTTACAAGCTAAGTCCAAATATGCGCTCTAATATACCTGGTCGCCCAGCATGGCGAATCTTGTTGACCCCTTCGAGTCTACTACCAGCACCTGTTTGTGCATATAAATCGTTGACAAGATATGTGAGAATGGGACCACTGACAATTTTCCTGTATTAATATACGAGCATATGTCAAAGTATACTATATACCGCTCGAATTTAATACTGATAAAATGTTTACACGCTTATCAGGCCGTTTAGAGCCACGAGGTGATACGAGTGTTTTGCAGCTTGACGGTTTGTGTTCTGTGAATCTTGAGTAGAGGAGACTTCGCCTGATGGAACTTTCGGTAAATCATATGTCAACTCACGTTTAATTATACATACGCGGCGTGCACAACTACTGCTACATATTGATCCGATATCCGGTGAAACCAAAAACATGTTATATAGTTGGCGCAGAAGTCTTGACAGCACAGCACAACCGTACGATTCCAAAAAAAACTAGACGCACACTACATACGTGATCAAGCGCTCCAAAAGACAAACCACCTGCTTACCCCGGGCCATGATGGTTTATATATCTAATTCTACACATTGATTAAGTGGAGCCGATAAGACAGCAACGAACCGTTGTACGCGTCACAACAACAACAGCTGGGTTGCACATTCAGCACTCACTCACATGCCCATCGCCGGGGCCTTCCAACAACTTTCGGACTTTGGTATTGTCCTCAAAGGCATCGAGGGTCTTAATGAGACCAGAGAATTGGCACTTACTGCCATAGTGGGTGAACAGTGGCTGTGCTACTTGGATGGTGCGATCGTTATCGTACTTATCCAGCAAATCAGCGTTGCAAAATGTAGACATTGTGGTTGAAAGTTTCGGAATATCGAGTCTGTGTGATATATGTACTACGTTGTGGATGTAGCTAACCTGTTACTTTTGGCCTCTGCTACTACTTAACCTCTATTATTACCTCAGGCCATTAACCGCTACTTACATAAAACGTTCTCCGGCTCTTTCATATATAGAGTTTTCGATATTTCCATATCGGTTCAAGTACGACTGTACGGTGCCTTTTAATCTGATGCGAGATGTCAAATGTTGTTATTTTGACACACTGGCATGTCCTGCTTGAGCTGTTTACTTTCAGTATTCAGAGGGTGACACCTAAACTCAAAACGTTATACGAGGCTTTCTACATAGACCATATGAACGTTAAATCGTATAAAATTTACGTTCAATCTTATTGACGTTTGGGTGACATCATAAACATCATCAGATATTCAGCAGTGCATTTCCAGCCCAATTGCGTTTAACGGTTATACATGTCTGAATAAAGGTGCAATAGTATAGTGCAAAGATGCAATAAGTAAGACCCAATACCTGATATAGTACTTTACTCTCTAATAGGTAATAGAACCTCTCACTCACCCGTTATAACGTTTAGATACCAAAACTTTTATGAAAATTCATTTACATTTTAACGTATTTACTTATATATGACGTTCAATTACAATACAATACTTACCGCAAGAAGTGAAGTTTGCTGCATATATAGAATTATAGATCCACTGGGAGTAAACCCTAAACCTAACAGTCATCTATATAAATATGTGCGTATATATCAGCCATGTACTTTAATCGCTCGCCATCGTGCTCCAGGCTTCAGAACCGTATGTATGTATTTCTATACGCGTGCGTTGTGTGGATATATAGTTATATTGATAAAAGCTGCATAGCCCCACGCAATGCATGTACCGTGTACTATACAGTATAGATCATAGTGTCGTCAGTAATGCGCACATACAAGTAGCGGCTATTCTGACAAAGGAGCGTGTCATATACACTTAGTATTATTATTCCCCAATTGGCCTTTGGGATAGCATTGCACTCAATATGTTTGCGATTACAAAGTATCTGCAACTAAGGATGGCACACAGATCACAGTCAGTTCTTGACACCGTCCTCCCGCATGCTCTTAGAAACCACGAGTGCGTACGACACAGTATACGGCAGTTGTGTTCGCATGTTGAATTAGGTTATAGGCCCAGCAGGCAACGGTATACAGGAAACAGTATGAGAGACTGTGATACATTGATAGGAGGTGATCGAATGCTATCTCAACGCACAAGGGCTACGTCTGGTGATAGGCCAGTACAATACAACCCTATACGGACGTATGTCCACGCAAGCGCTGCCAATTCAGTGCCTGCCAACAACCACAAGACCACAGATACGAGCACACACGATAGTACACAGGCGCATGGGGGTGCCAGTACAACAGATGCTGGTAAGGCGAAGCACACACACAGTATGGCATCTGGGCTGAATGGAGTGCATACTGAGCATCCCAATGAGGTGCAAAGCATGTCCTGGTTTAGCCAGCGGAAGGACAGTGTCCTGCAAGTTTTGAGACAGGTCAGAAAACTGGGCACTGAGTCGTATATGGTTATGAAGCTGTACTGGTATGGGGGAGCGCACACACGTGGACAGTACGAGATGATTGAAAGGTATGTACCCAACAGCATGCTGCTCTTTCTCTAAGCTGGATTAGTTGGAGTACTGAATACCACCCTGTGAGATGTGAATGGGCTGGAGATGGTTGTGTGGCCTATGCAATAGTTCGGTATATAGTTTCAGTACTGTGTGTTGGTAGAAAGTGGAGTACGTTGTGTTTCCGTTAAACGTCTTTGGTTGAAGGTGGTCTGGCAGGTGGTGCAATTGAAAGCAGAGTATATCAGCACTGCAGCTGGCTTCCGAATGGCAAATGAATCGATCGACATATACACCCTTGCCATTGTACAGAAGAAACACACAACATGTGACGATGCATACTTAAGTCATGACATGTATGGACATCACTGGTGTGGTGTGTTACTTGCCGTAAGCACATATTCATCACTCGGGTGATCACAGGCACATACACTGGGGTTGTAACCCGTATTCGTGCATACATACTGTATCTGAAGCTCGGATTACCACACCTTCACATCCTGGCCAGTGCATTGATGTGCTTACAACAAGCATAGGTGGACTAATACAATCAATCGTACTCACCCTTTATCCCAGGAACTCAAAAGACTTGGCACAGCTGATACCGTTTACAGTCATGGCTGCTTTGCCTGGTACGTGGTTCTGTTGTCAACTAAAACCCTAAACCCTAAACCCTATAGAATGGTTGTATTCGTGCATGCCTTGCGTTTCTATTGGTGTACGGCCTCGCACGTGTGTGCCCGCTGTATGTTAACGGCGACAGATAATTACGAACTTCGGAATGCTGCCACCGTTCCGATTGGCTGGTGATAGCTATAGGCTCGGTATTCAAGCGATACGCACTATTTAACATACAGTACAATACCTGTGGTACAAGCAAATGACACTGCGCATAAGCATATCAGAATGCCATTAACCATAGTATCTTATCCGCTGTTAAACCCTAAAACCCTAAAACCCTAATACACCAGCATATCACAATACCATTAGCCTTGGTATTTTATCCGCTGATGTGTACTTAGGGCAGACACGGACTTGCCTGGGCCATTCTCATTTACTTGTCTTCTGTTGAGTGTCTCTTTCAGTGATATCAATCAGTATAGTTCATCTGATGGTTCATCTGATTATGATATGTTGTACTGTCGTTACATTTATATATGTTCTATGCCTCATGGCACTTATTTAGGAATTAGGGTTTAGGGTTTATATACCCGTATATGCCAGATATCACATGTTAGTAAGGTTGCACTGGTCAGGAGTGTATATTCGTGAACGAGCACATATACAAATGCTTTCACCGTAGGACTTGAACTATCCACCAACGTCACACAATAATACATACAGAGTTTTAGGGTTTCATAGGGTTATGCCTCAAAACCGTAAAACTATTTTGCGCATATCACTGGTATGAAGTGTTGAAGTCCACCAATTGCGATGAACATATGTATGCAACCAGCCAAGCTGTATTGATCTCTGCATTTGAGATGTTAAAGCCCGCCAATCATATGAATTATCCATACCATAGGTCCCACTGCATTGGTCTGCATTTCAAGTGTTAAAATCCACCAATCAAAACGTCAATGTACACCATAGGCCACCCTGTACTGATTCTTTATTGGCTGCTACCTCACCCCGTCCTCTTTCTGTGCACAGGCGCGTTCTTCGCACTGCCTGTTCTGCTCAAGGTATTCCCTGGGTTCATGCCGTCTGTGTTCCAGGGCAAGAGCTTCAAGGTGTGTCTCTGGTGCGTGCTATGCCGAGTGGTCTATATATATATATGTGTGTGTGTGTGTGTGTGTTGTTTATG